TTTTGGCATCTCTGCCAGTGGAAGGAAGACGAAGTAATAGACCTTTTCAATAGCCTCCTTCTTTCAAAATATCCAGCTCGAGCTAAATATCGAACCAGTAATGCGAGGTATGAAGCGGTACAGAGGATACGAATTCTGTACGTATTGGAGAAGCCTGAAGAAAATCTCTACCGGGAATGTACTTAACCAACAGCATGAGCGAAGTACACACCTTTGGTTCCAAACGTCGCAACATAAGCGACAGCGGAAATCATGCCGCTCCACCCTGACGTGAAAGACGAGCCGAAAGGGCAGTACTGCCTAATCACCCGTTTGACCGTTTTGTTCACCAGCGCTCTGTATAAATTAACCGTTTTTATACATTTTGAGTTTTCACACGAAATTTTTGAACGTACGTTTCCGAATTGCACTAATTATTAATCACCAATCAGGTGTGTCAAGGAGAACTGCAGTCGCATAGTATCAAACAGCTTCGCTGTGACCGCAACAAAGCACCATGTCGAATTCGTTACTCAAGGGAACTAGCAGTTAATAAAAGAAAATTTATTTCGAGCGATGGGTGGGAAGCTGCTCTGTAACGTTAAAGCAACCTGTTAACCTACTGTACAACGCTCGCCGTTAAATTTGTTCTTTTTACAGTTTAGCGTTGCTATGCTTGACCACAAACGGCTGGTTGCTTCTATTTGCGTGTTATTTCAAGGCAAGTCGGTGGATAGGAGATGACCACTGACAGCGCATCGACTGTCGAAACAATGGGACGTGCATTTAATTCCACTTGCAATTTCATCAAGGACTGTCGCCGCGTAATGAGCGGTTGTAGAGTGCCTATAAAGTGTGACTGGAGTGGGCTTCAGCAGGGAATGACAGGCACATGAACCGAAATCTGTTACGGTATTAATTTAGCGATTTTCCTTGTTGACATCAGTCAACGTTGTATGCGACAAAATTGCCTCGCAGCCTCCCTTGTCACAAATCGATTTTGTTGCAGCTCGGCTGTTCACTATCGAAGCTTAGCAACGCAGTTAGTGCGTCTTCTTCACCCTATGTTCACGCCAGCATAAACGACTCAAAGCAAAAGAATTTTTTTCTTTGAAAGATTTGCTTTAGATTTCGCTAGTCACTAGTTTTCGTTACTTTTCGCGTGTGCTCATCGCCTGATATTTACCGAATTTGGATGACGGTAATATGATAAAAATTCTTTTTCATAGTTTCAGCATATTTGACTCGAGAAAAAACTTCATACGATAGAGGCATTTCACATCGTTCAAGGATGTTGAAGAATAAATTGCTATTCACGTCAGACTCAGAGAAACATCCAGAAACACGAAGAAGAGGTTTGTACAATATTTAGCTGTGTTCTTTCATTCAATGAACGTTCGGTTTTACAATAGGGCAAACGACGAATAAACAATTTGCGAGCACAGCTTTAAGGTGACAGTTAGTTAGAGGTATTTTTGGGAACATGAAGTTAATTAGTGGGTTCGAGTCAGCAATGCAGTTGAAGTTTGGCTGATGTTTAAGTTTTTGTCTTAATCACGTTTCTGCAAATCCGCTTTGAGAAAAAGCTTTCGCTCAACTTCACATAAGGCAATTTTTTTATGTGCTGTAACATATGTGCTATGTAATATCACATATTAACTTACGGCTGCGATGTCAGATTTGTTCGACATGCCGGTTGCTTGTCTCAGAGTTAGACTTTTGTCGTTCCCTAGAGAAAAGATCGAATCTTTACGCATATTATGACTCAGTTAACAGTGAACAGCCTCAGCCTTATTCAAACTTCCATAAATGAATAAAAGGTTCTCTCTTCAGGTAATAGGGCACAACTTGCGATTACTGTCAAAGATTAAAAGCATCGTGCAGCTCACACACTTGCCATAATGCGTAAAGTGGCATGATCTATAGATCTTCAGACCCGTTGAATGATTCTCTTTACGAAAAAATTATTCTGCTTCAAGCTAAGCATAAGAAGAGCTTTCGATAGAAAGAGTCAAAAGTACTTCATTTTTCAGCGTCGCTATGACAATAATCAACAGAATTTTGCATAATCAATCAATGGAGTTAAATCTTATGCAGGTAAATACGTTAAAGAAATGAAAGCTCAAATGAATTCAGGCTCTTTCTTTCCAAAACGTTCAACTTTGCGAGGAAAATCTGCTGTACTGCGGC